TGAGACAAAAAGGGTCCCTTTCCTTCTGGTGATGACCACAGTCTCTCCAGACATGTGTGTTCTTTGTGTTCCTTGTTGCTGCTGCCTGAAGCAAAGCTATTCATATCTACACATGCAGACATCTGGGAAATGTTCATTTAAAAATGAATTGGAAAAAAAAAAGATTCAGAGGTTTTCGGGTAGAAGGAAAAGATAAGGTTAGATTTTGTTGGATTTGATTAGCACATGTGCAGAAATGGGAGATGAGCTCTGGGGTGGGGGAGGCTGCTGGGATTGTGTAACTGAGGCTTAAGTCACAGAAAGTAAATGTGTCCCCATTTGGTCTGTACAGACAGCAGATAAAGTTCCTGCATCAAAAGTGAACCTGGCCAGGGACCTTCCCTCAGTCCTAGGGAAGAGTCAGCAACAGGCCAGTGACTGAGTCTGACATGAGTCCCAATAGCCAAATACAGTTATTTTAGTAAATTACAGGTTGTTACTATATGTGAACATTAGGAGTAAGGACCTGTGTAATTAATGCTATACAGATGTTTCTCATGTGGAAATAAATAGTTAAGTAGTACAAGTCTGTCTATACCTAACTGTGTCTACAAAAGGAATAAAAAACACTTAGCGGAAACTCGGAACTGAGTCGGGAAGCAGATCTATGGGTAAATATATTGCCTTGGGTAGATGCACGCCAAGGCCGGGGTAGTTTAAATGACAAAGCAGTGTGCGGGGTGGAGAAGGGGCCTGGAGGGAGAGGTGAGTAACCCTGGTGCATACCTTACCAAAGGTTAAAGGCTCGCCCCCTCTACAGCTGCCTGGATAGAGAAGGAAAGACCAGCTGTGGCTTCCAGGTCATTGTTGAGAGGGAAAAAAAATCATTTTTCAATAATTCTCTTGATGGAAGTGTCTAAAAAGACCCTAAGGTTTGGGAATGTCCCTGACTGTCTGCCCTCCCGTCAGAATTTTGAGCTGATCTGAGGCTGGGAATGACGTAGATAAAAGCTGACTGAGCAGCCTCTGCCATGTCTAGTCTTTGTTGCCGTGTTGGTGTCTGCATGTGGAGGCCAGAGGCCAGCCTCAGACTTGGCCATGTGGAGACCAGAGGCCAGCCTCAGACT